TGCCTACCACTGTAGTTGATCTTGGATTTAATAGGACTGTCTTTGTAATTTCAAGTAACGCTCCATCTATTCACTTTACACCTTTATCTGATTACTAATGGGAAAGTTATCGTTGGGTTTCTTCTTTAAAAGTGTTGAATTCTCACAATTTCTTCCATTGTTTTTAAAGCAAAAAATCACTCTACAAAGACCCGCATATACATCCAAATCCAATACATGCTATTTTAGTTCAGAGCGTCCCATATCATATGGGATTATCTATAATTTTTAACGCTAAAATACTCACTCAGTACTCGAAAAATTAAGCATTTTCTGCAAAAAAATTTCTATTACCCTTATTAAATTTTTCAAAATGATTCCATTCTTCTTAAATTTTCTGATTTGTCCCCCAAATCGCAATTTAGACCCATTGACGCGGTCTAATTTGATATGGGACACCCTGTATATTAAAAGCTTTCTATTATCTGTACGTATATCTTACTATCCAATTATCTATCTATCTTGTCTCTTTTTGTACTGATATCAATTAGTACTTCTTTATTTTTATAATTTAAGTATCTACAGCTTTATGTTTATCTATCATAGCACTCTATATTAAAAATATCAATGTATCTATCTATATCTATCTGTTTATTTATCTATCCATCCATCTACCATGTAATTTATCCATTTGTCTAATAAACTATCTATTTATCTGTATATAAGTATCATCTATATATCAATCTATCTATCTATCTATACTTATCTATCTATCTATCTATCTATCTATCTATCTATCTATCTATCTATCTATCTATCTATCTATCTATCTATCTATCTATCTATCTATATATCTATCTATCTATCTATCTATCTATCTATCTATCTATCTATCTATCTATCTATCTATCTATATATCTATCTATCTATATATCTATCTATCTACCTATCTATCTATATATAAATCTATATATCTGTCTATCTATCTATTGTATACTGTACACTGTATAATGTAGACTGTAGACTGTATACTGTATACTGTATACTATAGACTGTATACTGTATACTTTATACTGAATACTGTATACTGTATACTGTATACAGTATATTGCAGTTTTCTTTTAAATGGCTCCTAAGAGACCTTTCTGCATAGATTTTATAGGAAACTTAAATCTGCAAACCAATATGAGGATTACAGGAGGATTTAGGGGGATTCAGGGGGGTTCAAGGAGATTCAGGAGGATTCAGGGGGATTCATGAGGATCACAGGAGGATTCAGGGGAATTTAATGGGATTTAGGGTTATTCAGGGGGATACAGGGGGATTCAGGGAGATTCAAGGAGATTCAGGAGGATTCATATAGATTCAGGGAGACTCAGGGAGATTCAAGGAGATTCAGGAGGATTCATGGAGATTCAAGGAGATTCAGGAGGATTCAGGGAGATTCAAGGAGATTCAGGGAAGCAAGAAGATTCTTTGGAATTTCAGGGTATAATCCAGGGGATTTAAGGATAGTTCGTGGGATTCCGGGATATTTAAGTAGATTCGTAGAATTAAAGGAGATTTTACGGGATGCCGAGAGATTCCTTTGGAATTCAAGGGAATCCACGGGTTTAACGTGGGTTTTATGAGATTCGGTATTTCGGGAGATTTACAGGATTAATGGAGATCTAAAGAGGATGTTAAGGGATTCAAGAGGGATTTCAGAGGGTTACAGAGATTTTAAAAGGGATTACTTAAAAATCTAGAGGATTTCTGTATGAAGCTATGAGGTTGAAAGTTGTTTTTAAAACCCAATTTATGGATCAAAGGATTAAAATTGGACATTTATTCTTCGGGATCAAAGGGTTAACATTGAAAAAATTCTAGACTTTTCCTTTTTGGGATGAAAGGGTTAAACTTCACCCCTCCACACATACAACTATAAACATGTTAACTCCTGAGATACGTTCTCTGCTCTCAAGATAAATAAAGTCCGGGGAGTCGATCCAGGCAAATCTAATCAAAATACACAAATTTAGAAAATCAGAATCCAAATATCCAAATTGCCATTCAAATTCACAAAATGTATCCAATAAAAGTCCAAATCTAAACTGCATATTGAAATATTTTCGAATATAAAAAATAAAAAATTTATTTTTTAAATTCTTAGTTTTTATAATAAAATTTGTTGTTTTTTGTTCTTGTACTCTCTCATTCCCCCTTCCCCCTTACTTATATTCCCTTTCTTCCCATTATTACATTCACACCCATACAACTCTATTTCTCCCCCCCCCCCTTGGTAATATTCACAGACTATTAAGTATTCAATAAACCTTTTTACGATAGTTTCCGTGAAATGGGAAAATAAAATCAAACACTATAATACATAATACACATCCGATCGAGTCCACTTGTTTTGCATGACCTCACATGCCCTCGGGGAAGGGTTATGACCGGTTAAGATTAAAAAAATTTTCGCCACAAAATTTGGATTTTGAAAATCCACCGATAAATCAGGAAAATCTTCGTATTTTCTATTTTTTACAATGAAAATATTGGTATGCAGTAGTTATATGGAACAAAAAACAGGATGTCTCGAATAATTCAAGATTATAAACAAGTTTCCAGAGCTATGATTCTTCAAATCACAGAATAACATAGTATTTATCCCAATTCTTGATTTCCCAAATTGGGAAATATTTTATTGAGCGCAGATATATTTATATCTATCTAGTATGAATAATGACCAGTTTCACACAGTACAGTACAAAAAAGAATAAAACTGAATAAAACATCCATTAACTATATATTTACTGGATATTGGAAATGACTCTGAATTTATTCTGTGTAAATGAAGTTGGAGCAACGTAACTTGTAACTTTTTGTCTTATATATAAAACCGTTTTCATTTTTAGCAGAAATAACATGATTTTTTATGTAAAGGACAATGTTTGAATGTAAAAGATTTATTTAAAGAAAAAATGTCCTTTAATTTTATTTTAAACATAGGCCTTTAAGATCTTCTATTACAACTTTTACTTTTGGCTCTGTCTGTGAGCATCTTTTTTTGTAAAATGCAAAACAAAAACCAAATAAAGTTTGTGGATTTAAGAATATATTTTTGTGAATTATCAAATTTTTACTAAAATCAAAAATTTTTGATGGCAAATTTTTTAAACTCTGAGCATCAATAAATCGCATGATCCCAGGATCATGCGATTGGGCCCGATCAGAGACAAGCAAACTGATGATGAACAATTGTAATTTGATTTTGTTTTGTTCTTTGGGATTTTTCAACATTTATTTTGTTTAAATGATTTTTTTTTTAGAATGGGATAAGGGGAGGGGGTCATTTACATGCAAACAAGGAAAAAAGAAGTAAATAAAATTTATGCTACATTGCAGGTATGACTTTTTGACCTCGCAGCTTCTGTAGTTTTTATTTTACTCACAGTTAAGAGAGAAACAATTTTATTCGAGGCCAAATTTAAAGAATTTTAGCCGCGGCTTAAATATTGCTGGTTTCACTTAAAATTGTAGTCAATTTTTCAAGATTAAGCCGGCGCTCAATTGAAACCAGTTTTTGGTAAATTGAGACGCGACTTAAATTTATTAAATTCGGACACGGTTACATATTAGAAATTCAAAACATTCTCAATACCTCTATGATAATAGAAGTTATGTTTACAAAACATCTAAAGGGACAGACCGGCTTTGTAAGGTAGTTGAACTGAGTATGTAGTGTTGGGGACAAATTCTATAGGATTCATTTGAGAATCGGTTTTTTAAAATTACTAAATAACGAAGACGATAAATATAGTAAAAATTCTAAAGTAAACTAATAAGATGTTTAGGAACATACTTCTCAAAAGGAATTGGTCAATAAATCGAAGTTAGAATCAATTATTTCCTTTTTCATCATTATATTGAATTTCTTATTTTCAATGAATTTGTTCGCAGATTTCTTCTAATTCTTTAAATGTCGTCTTTTCAATAAAAAATTCAGAAAATCTGCTGAAAATATTTGTGAATAATCAGAGATTACAGAAACTATTAATTGAATAAGATTAATTATTTTCGATGATAAGAGTTAATTTTTATTTTCTCAACCTGTTCCTAAACAACTAATTAAATTACTGTAGAATTTTGTTTACATTTTTTTGTCGTAGTTATCTAATAATTTTTAAAAAATTCTGAAAACGTATCCACCCGAAAGTTCGATTTTGAACGTCGACTTTGCGATTAAACTCAGGATTTAGAGATCTTTAAAAAGTGTTATATGTCTCAAATGAATCCTAACGAATTTGTTCACAACATTGCATACTCGGTTTAACAACCTTACATAGCCGGTCTGTCCCTTTAAGAGTTCAATCTTCCGTGCAATTTACTTTAGTTTGACGTGATTTCCGTGATTCGAAATTCTCTGTTTGCTTTATTTGAATTATTAATAGGTGACCTATATCTAGGTTGAAATAAGACCATGTCTTACATTCTCAAAGAAATATTTTCTCTAGTTTTGTTATTATTTTGTTTTTGACCTTTAGGAATATCGGAGTACAAAAAAGATACTTTTTAAAAGTTTTCCAAATTTAGTGCTCAGTAAAGTTTTAATGTAAATTGTGATTTCTCTACAAAGGTGACATAACATAACACTGGACCTTACCTCAAATGACCCCATTAAAAAATGGCCTTAACAAAATCCTGACATATTCATAAGGTACGAAGAGAAAATGTTTACAGATAAAACAACAATTAGAAGTTGAAATACAAGATGGGCGCAAAGTGTCCTAAAAGCCTAGTTTATATATAAATAATCACAAGAAGCTCTAAATCAGGTTGGTAAACTCAAAGAGGTTGATTCATCAAAGGTTGCGAGTGCGACTGTAAAAAAACGACTCGGACTACCTCTCATCTATCCGTGCATTAGTCTGTGAGAATATAATCCATTTTTTTGGATAATTTCTTTATTGGTGTAAATAATTACATATGTATTTAAAGTCCTAAAGAAGCAAATAAAACTAAGTATATTAATATATTTTTTCAACGTTGCAATAATTTTCTAATGCGTATTTGTTTCTACAATTTTAACGCAATAAACAGGAACGTTTTACCGTGAGCGTGAAGAAAAAGTTTTTTAATTTTTTCTTTTTTATAACTAACAAATTTACATGAAAAATATTAGGAGAAATGGTAAAGAAAAGATAGCATAAGGAAGAGAGCAAATCTACTTAAGTTCAACAAATCTAATAATATTTATAATTTAAATCACATTTTCTTTACCGGGATTTATAAAATCACACGAAAGTTTACTAAATAACTGAGATCTTTGGCGTGATTATCACACATTCAATAAAGTCTTGTAAATATCAGAAGCAGAAATCCGTCAACATTTCATAATGTCGTCCTTTCTTGACCAACATGGCGTCGCTGTAAAGTACGCGAAACCCATTTTAAAGATTTTAAGATTTGTTCGAGTCTTCCTGTTTCTTTTACCGAGAGGAGAAAGAGTTAAGAGCTGAATATCCCTCGTATTGGTGAAGGGATAGGGGGAGGGGGGAGGTGGGGGGAGTGGGGGTTAATCCGCTTTTCTTTCTGTCGTCTGAAAAGAAGAATTTTATTTCAATATTTCAATTCAATGTATTTTAGGAACAACCGCATACAATCCTTCAGCTCCTAGACTACCCGGAGAAAATGTAATCTATTAAACCCTGTCATCGCAATACTATACCAAACATATACAATTTATCCGGTTAAATAAGTTTAAAAGTAAAAATTTTAAACAAAAAGGGTTACACATATCTTGACAATCAACGATAAAAATGTTTAAGGTTTTCTTTTTTGTTTGTCCTAAAAAATAAATCAGAGCAACATTTCAAACTTTTAATTTGTACCCCCCCCCCTCCCCAGATTTACTAACATATTGAGCTGGGTCGGTGTACGAAATCAGAAGAGCAGATTTGACCGAAGTGTACCTGTTACAAAACCAGACTCTCACAACCTCCTTCTCCATGTTGAGTTGGTCCCCTATGCTTCTGATCTCGTCGCTACTGGGCTTGGGGTTCTTCAAGAAGGCGCGCTCCAAGGAGAATCTAATATTGTTCTCAATAGAAGTCCGCTTCTTCCTTCTCTTACCTTGAATAAAGCAAAACTATAGTCTTGATAATTTTTAAACGACCTCTCTAATAAAAATTTAGATTTGCTAACGTAATTTTCAGTGTCAGATTGACACTATTAAACTTTTGTTAAAAAAAGGACGAATTATGTATTCTGTTTTTTCTAGCTGAAAATTGATTTTTTTATTGAGACATTGAAAGAAAACAAAAGAATTTAACACTATTCAAGGTGCGACTGGTACTAAAAAAAGGTTAAAGGTTGTGATATGAAAATGCCATTACGTCTTGCAGTAACTTTAATTCAATATTTGAAAAAGAAGGATTATATTACCTATAAGATCTTGATGATTAAGATTACTGAGGCTAGAGGCCGGAGTGGAGATTACAGTTCCATCCGCATCCTCGAGCCATTTGTGCAGCAGAGGCTTCAGCTTGCACATGTTCTTGAAGGAGAGGTTGAGAGCCTCGAACCTGGATATGGTTGTCTGGGAGAAATCATTTCCGTACATTCGCCCCATAGCAAGTCCTACATCTCCCTGCAATGTATTGGATGTAATATATTTGTATTTTGTCCCAAAGTTTGAGATCACAGAATATAAAAATACTTTAGAGGAGATTTGTAATCAGTTTTACATACCTGAGTGTATCCCAGCTTGATTCTTCGTTGCTTGAACTCCTTGGCAAACTCTTCCAGCTCTTCCAGCTCAATATTCTCTTCAGCTGGAAGATCTAGGCGAGCAGGGATCTCATGACGAGCTGACATGTCGTAATGAGAACCTAGATCATCCCTGGAGATGAGGTCCTGGCGGGATGGGGAGCTGGGGGACATGGAACCCCGATAATGATGTTGATATCCAGATCTAAAATAATAAAACAAATAAGTTAAAATCTTTTTAAAAACTGATAAAAATGTAAAGGAATTAAAAAAATAAAAACATAGATTTTTAGAATCAGGAACACAGTTCACAAAGAATAAATTTCTAAAAAAGTTTTTAAGACTAAGTCAGCCTTGAAGTGTCGCAACACCATAGTTTTTGATGTTACCTCAAGAACTCGATTTTTTTGCAGCCCTGCACATGGGCATTTTATAACTTTATTAGCTGAGTTTTTAGGAAGTAATTGGCAAAATTTCCATTGATTTTTGCGTGAGGGCTTGCAACATTTAGATCACTTTGAACTAAGCTAAAAGATGTTCCTATGGAAAAATGAATGAAATTCAAACTATTACTCACCTAAGTTCTGTCGAATATGGAGATATATTGGATCGAACAGAATGAATGGAATGCATTTTAGTGTTAACAAATAATCCCTGCTCCCCCCGGGTCAACTCCTTCTCACTCTTGATCTTGAGCTTGTTGTTGAGGGGCTCTGTGGTCTCTTTGAAGTCCTGCTTGAACTCCTTCTCCTTTTCCTGTATCCTTCTCAGATCCTGCAGCTGCTGGGTAGCTTGAGAAACAGCCTTCTGTACCTAGATACGTCAGTGGTTTAGTTTGATAAAATTATTAGCTTGTAAACCCAGCTTCTGTACCTAGATGAGTCAGTTGTTTAGTTTGATAAAATTATTAGATTGGGAATCCAGCTTCTGTACCTAGATCCCCCCCCCTAGGGCCTAGGCTGCAGATGGAAAAGCGATTTTTATCCAATGAGAGAGTGCTGCTGATAGCAGAGTACTAGATGAAAGGGGTTTAGGGGGTAGGTGGGGGTATGAATAGAGAAGGCGAGAGTTTGACATGAATACTTTGTTTTGGTTTAAATTTATTCTAATATATTTGGACATGCATCTGTTTGAGATTAGAGAGAATAGAGAACCGGCAAACCGACATCAAGTAATTAAGTCAATCATATTTATTTTCAGAGAAATCGTGAAAATTCTAATTAAAGTAACTGTAAGCATAATTTCAATTGACATTCAACGCAAAGATGGCAATGTCCGATTTAAAACGGTTCCCTTACAACCTTTAACTCATTAATGATGTGGAAGATATTGTCGTTTTTTGACTATTCCCATACGTTTTCCTGTAGTGGACATTCTCAAGTCACTTTTGTAGAGAATCCGCAATTGTAACTTATCAGATTTCAAAATTGTTAACATAAATATCTTATTCAAACTTAATCAGACAAAGCTATTAAAGGTGAAAAGGGTCACTTGAATTAACGCAAACTTTCCCTTTAAAACTTTGAAAAAAAAGTTGACCATGCATTCAAGACTTGTTTATAAAACAATATTTTTATGAATTTAGTCTTCATATATAATTAATAATAAAAAAGGTTCAATTTATAAAAATTGTATTCTTAATATGACCAAAAACAAGTTAATCCCTTAACAACAGTTTTTAAAATTAAAATTTTCAGAATTTTTCAGAATTTTGATTTTTAATTAACATTTAAATAACCGTCGCTTGAGTACCTTTTAATAATAATATTTGGACCAAATTAAACCATATTAAAGAATAAAGAATGCAGGAAATTACTTTGAATAAAGATTAAACGTAAATTTGAGATAAGACTTTCTGAAGGAACTGAACTCCCCCCCCCTTTTTCCCTAACTTTTCAAACCAATGGTTTTTGGAAAAGTTTTGCGAAGAAATCCTTGAAAATGTAAATTCAGATTCCTTCTCACAAAGAAATCTTCTGCGATTGAGAATTCAATTTCCATATTTAAATCTTATCATTCGCACCCTATTCAGCATTCAACTGGTCAGTCAGGGGCACATATTTTGAACCCCCCCCCCCCCCAATGAAAAAATTCTATAATATCAAATCATCAATCTACATAATTTTTTTTAAATGTACAGAAAAATTTGAAAAAAAATCTCTCCTTTTAAAAAATTATTTCGTGTTTGTGCAATAAATAGGTTCGTTTAAATTCAATAATTTAAATTTGTAATGAAAAAAATGTTAATAGAATAATCTTTCTAGGGTAAAGCCTGTGACTGTAGGAATAGAGCTGTGGTCTGGGACTGGTTTGGTTGGAACAAAAGAAGGTTTTGTATTTGCTGTTGAAGGTTTTGCTGTTGCTGTTGTAAATATACTTGAAGCGTTCCCACCTCCGACATTCCAAACCTAAACAAAAAACATTGTGTTTTCCAAAAAAATTCAAAACCACATTTTCAGAGGTTGTAACATTGAATATTTGATAAATGACAGAGATTCAATGGGAACGGTAAAGCTGTTTGAGTCCATGTCTAAGAAAAGAATGCAAGTGAAAAATCAGAAACTTTTAATTCTTAAATCCCTGCCGCGAGAATTCATTGGATATTCATAAAAATCACGAAACCTCTTTATTCAAATATTCCATTTTCCCGTATTTGCATTCACAACTCTGGCAGATTTATTCACCTTGAAACATTTATGCTCGAAGTATTGAAGTTATTCGCGTTCATGTTCAGTCCTGACCAGGGCAGATTCTGTTGGGTGGCCTGAAAATTTAATTTTAATTTGTTTTAATTTGATTTTAGATCAAGGAATCCATTAATTAACAATCGAATTAGAAATAAGTTTGTGAACTCGTTAAAGAAAACGAATTTTATAAACCACTCTGATTTTCCAATCATAATATCTTTGCAATTCTTATATCTTTGCAACCTGATGTTGCAGTCCTTTAAAATTTCAAACTATGAATTCTGCTGAATCAGGTTAAAATATATTAGAGTCAAGGCAAGGAATCACTTTCGATTACATATGAATTTAACAAACGAATTTTACCTGAAGTGCAATCAGCTGATTAAGTGACATCTGACCGGCCTGCAGAGCAGCTAGAGCTGTTTGAACAGTCTGAAGAGCAGCTGTGGTTGGACTGCCTGATGCTGTCATATTAGGGGAGCTGCAGGCTGCTGGTTTAGGGCTACTAGAAGCTACAGGAGGACTAGAGGGTAGTTCGCCTGATCCACCACTACTGTTGGGAGAAAATGAGCGCCTAGAAAAAAATAATATTTACATGCAGAAGTACACCCAGCATTGTCACATTATTCGCACATTATTTTAGTGTACCGTCCCTTTTTGCCGTCTATATTCTGTGTATATACTAAACAGAATGCTCAAGTTACCAAAATGTCGGCTTTGTACTTTAAATAGATCGTAGTCTAGACTTTCATAAAAAATTAACGTCCTGTCTCCTACATACAAACATGATACACACTACACACATTAAACGCGATTTACAGTTAAACAGATTAGACTTTACCTGGCGGATGAAGGAGCTGCAAGATTAATTGCTACACTATCTGAAGAACTATCGGCCACCGAATCAGAATCGTTTCTTTCGTCACTTCGCGGGCTCATCATTGCACTACCTAAAAAATGGCGGGAAATAAGAATTTATTACGCGCAGAGTTTCAAAATTAAAATGTAGCAAAAAACTGCACATTTTTAAACGTAACGTAAAAAATAATTGTCGTAAATTACGTTCTCTATAAACATTATAAAATTTAGTAACCCATGTTTGATACTTTACATTTCAATTTATGTGAATAAATAACATTCTCATACATATTTTAGGCGGTATATTTGTCAGTGTGGTTGGAAACTATCAAGCTGCAGGACATATTTAAATAATTGCTTTTGCATGATTATTAATAATAATACAATAATTGAGACTTCATTTGTATGATATGAATGCATAAATATATTTTCAATTAGAACCAATATTATTAAACTAAATGCAAACATTTACAATAATTTTCCATTACATTTAAAAATATTTAATTATGAATGTTATGTAGATTTTAACTCTTTTTCATCATCAATTCCAAAACTACCAAAGTATGTTCGTATGTTAATGACCTTTTTTCAATTTAATAATTCACAGGGATGATTAAAAATGTTAATTAACATATATCATGATAATGCCTCAGTAAAAAAAAATAATATTAGTTTAATTTGTAGCTTTTAGGATATTAAGTATACAGACATAGATAAATAAGTAAATAGATAAATAGATAGACAGATGGATAGATAGAAAGATAAATATTTAGATATATAGATAGATAGATAGACAGACAGACACCCTGATAGATACATAGATAGATAGACAGATAGATAGATAGATAGATATATAAATAGATAGATAGATAGATAGATAGATAGATTGATAGATAGATAGATAGATAAATAGATAATTAGATATATAGATAGATAGATAGACAGACACCCTGATAGATACAAAGATAGTTAGATAGACAGATAGATAGATAGATAGATATATAAATAGATAGATAGATAGATAGATAGATAGACAGATGGATAGATAGAAAGATAAATATTTAGATATATAGATAGATAAATAGATAAATAGATAGATAGATAGATATATATAGATAATTAGATATATAGATAGATAGATAGACAGACAGACAGACAGATAGATACATAGATAGATAGATAGACAGATAGATAGATAGATAGATAGATAAATAGACAGATACATAGATAGATAGATTGATAGATAAATATATAGATATCTTGATAAGTAGATAGATAGATAGATAGATAGATAGATTAATAAATATATATATCTTGATAAGTAGAAAGACCAACTGCATTTGCCAATTTTAAATATGAATTATGTTCAAACAAAAAGTACAATGACTTGACATAAACTTATGCATTAAAAACCCTTTTTCATTTATATCTTTAGTTACGGTCAACTTATTTACCTTTTTATATCTAAATATAGACAGTTCAATACAGACTCTAGTTATTTATGGATAGTATATATACCATGTAAAGTAGAGAAGACAGAGTTTGAGGAGTTTTATCAGGATTAATACAAGAGTTATACCGGTGGTTGTGAGAGATTCAAACAGCGCATTTAGGCTGATGAAGACTAAGGAGGAGTTTAGGCATTTTCTATACTTATCTATTCATGGTCAGCCTTCCGAAACACATGGTTTGCATTTTAGTATTGGGGATTATTATTTCGTGTTAAAATTAGATTTTAAGTTTGTTGGGTCAGCGGCCAAAATTATGCAAAACGAAAAAATTGGGTATTTATATTTCGTGTTTGTGCAATAAATAGGTTCGTTTAAATTCAATAATTTAAATTTGTAATGAAAAAAATGTTAATAGAATAATCTTTTTAGGGTAAAGAGTTGTATGTTTGACAGGAAATAATTAATGAATTAATAATTTAATAATTATTCTCCAGAAATTAGTATAAAAAGTGGAATAATTTGTTTAATTAATTGCTTCATTATGGGAAATAATTATATGATTAGTATTTGTAAGACAAGATACACCGTACAAGGTGACTATGAATTATTAACTTTACTTATTTATACATTTTAAGGAGTTACCGAGAGTTACACGTTTTGAGGAGTTACTAAAAGTTATTAATACATTTGAAGGAGTTACTGAGAGCTATTTATACATTCTGAGGAGGTACTGAGAGTTCATTTTATATTTTAAGGAGTCACTGAGAGTTATCTATACATTTTGAGGAGTTAATGAGCGTTATTTATGCATTTTGAGAAGTTACTGAGAGTTACTTATTCAAACATTTTGGGAAGTTATAACTGAGAGTTATTTTTACATTTTAAGGTGATATTGAGAGTTATTTATACCTTTTGAGGAGTTATCGAGCGTTATTTATGAATTCTAAAATGTCACTGAAAGTTTTTATACAATTTAAGAAGTTACTGCGAGTTATTTATACATTTTCAGGATTCACTGAGGGTTTTCATACATAACAAAGAGTTATTAAGAAGTTTTCTTGCCTTGTAAAGAGTTAGGAAGAGATAATGTCCACATTTTTCTGTCTTCACTTTCAACTTCTCTACTTTCTAGATAGATAAATACTTGTAAAGGGAGAGTTCACTAAATAGACATATTTAGTTAAGGAGAAGGATAGAATGGTAGAAGGATAGAGGGATAGAAGGATAGAAGGATATGACTAAAAGAATGGAAGGATGGAAGGATAGGAAGATACAAGGATACAAGGATAAAAGGATACAAGGATACATGGATACAAGGATACATTGATACAAATATACAAGGATACTAGGGTACTAGTATACAAGGATACAAGGATACAAGGATACATGGATACAAATATACAAGGATACTAGGGTACTAGTATACAAGGATAAAAGGTTACAAGTTTACGAGGATAAAAGGATACAAGGATACAAGGATACAAGGATACAAGGATACAAGGATACAAGGATATAAGGTTACAAGGATACAAGGATACAATAATAGAAAGCTGCAAGGTATATAAATTATTCTGAATCAAATCTGACCATTCTGAACAAATATACAGATGTGAGATATAATTGTAAAAATATTTGTAACACCCTCCTCCCGGCCCCTCTTCTCCCCTCTTCNTCCTCTGCCCCTCAATCCCCCCTCTTTTCCCCCTGCGGCGATGGGCAAATTCCATGGAGAAAAATTCAGGAGAGAAAGTTTCCGGACGGGAAATGACGTACTAGTATCTTTAAGTGCTCTATGACGTATCAGTATCTCTATGTGGTCTATGACGTATAAGTACCTCTAAGTGGTTTTTGACGTGTAAGTATCTCTAAGTGCTCTTTGACGTATCAGTATCTCTAAGTGGTATACGACGTATAAGTACCTTTAAGTGGTCTATGACGTGTAAGTATCTCTAAGTGCTCTTTGACATATTAGTATCTCTAAGTGCTCTATAAAGTGTAAGTATCTCGTGTGCTATATGACGTATTATTACCTTTAATTGTTTTTTACATATAAACATCTATATGTTCTCTTTGGCATGTAAGTATTTTTTGTGCTCTATGAGGTATTATTATCTGCTCTATGACGGATAAGTATGTCTAATTGCTCATGACCTATAAGTATCTCTAAATGCACTCTGACGTATAAGTATATCTGTGCTCTATGACTTGTAAGTATCTTTAGTGCTCTATGACCTGTAAATATCTCTATGAACTATAAGTGCTGTATGACCTATAAGGATCTCTATTATAAGTGCTCTATGACCTCTAAATATCTCTATAAACTGTAAGTGCTCTATGACCTATTAGGATCTCTATAACCTATAAGTGCTCTATGACCTATTAGGATCTCTATAACCTATAACTGCTCTATGACTTGAAAATATCTCTATAACCTATAACTGCTCTATGACCTATTTGGATCTCTATAACCTATAACTGCTCTATGACTTGTAAATATTTCTATAACCTATAACTGCTCTATGACCTGTAAATATCTCTATAACCTATAAGTGCTCTATGACCTGTAAATATCTCTATGAACTATAAGTGCTCTATGACCTATAAGGATCTCTATAACCTATAACTGCTCTATGACCTGTAAATATCTCTATAACCTATAACTGCTCTATGACGTGTAAGTATAAGTATATTTGGCCGAACTAGACTGTTTTGAATGAGGGTCATTTTGTCAATGGGATAGATTGAATTGGAGTGTGTTAGGGGTGGGGTGGGGTGAGGGAGGGGTCACGTGCCCG